GGAAAAAAATTTTTCGGGACTGATCTGCAGAGAAGCAAGGGCAGGAGCTATTAGGCAGAAATTTAAAAGCACACATCTCAGACTGGAGTGTAGGTGTTCAGAGAGACGGGGGTACGTTATTTCCTGAAGCTAGGACCATTTATGTTTCTTTTGATGAGGTGGAAAAGGTGTCCCCCACCCCAAGAGAATTAACCCACTTTCCCAGTATGAGCCCAGTTCTTGTTTTTTTTTTTTTTGTCTTTTTAAGATGGATAATTTAAGCATTCTTTGAATTCTCTTAACATGTATCTAGCCAGGCATAGTGCACCTGTAATCCTGGTACTCAGGAGGTTGAGGCACAAGGATTGCTGTGAGTTTGAGGTCAGCCTGGGCTGCAGAGTGAGACCTTGTCTCAAAAGAAAAATATATTTTAGGATTAGGTTCCTGCTTTTAAATTTTTTAAAAAACGATACCAATTTATGGACTTACAATATTCTTAAGGAGTTTGGGCATGATGGATCTGGAAGGAAAAAAAATTTTTTTGTGTGTGTTTTTTGAGGCAGGGTTTTCCTGTGCAGTTCAGGTTGGCCTGGAACTCACAGCAATCCTCCTCCCTCACCTCCCAAGTGATGGGATTACGGGCATGTACCACCACATCCAGCAAAAACCTAACTTTTTAATTATAGCCATCTTAGTTACTTTTCTCTCATTGCTGAGACAAAATACCCAATATCCACAAATTAAGGGAGGAAGGTTTTATTTAGTTCACAGTCTGTAGAGGTTTCAGTCCATAATGGGTTGGCTCCAGGGCTGGGTGGCTTTGCAGAGAACAGTTCATGGTGGGTAAGACAGTAAAATCAACACCCAAAATTTAACGGCATCTTTCTGCCCCTTTTATTTAATTCTGTCTAGGTTGCTGGGACTAGGGTAATGCCGAACTAATCAGTGAACTGATCACACATTCTTTTTTTTTTTTTTAATTTTAAAGAATAAAAGAAGGATAACATAATAATAGGGGGGACTTAGCAAATTACAGACAAAATGGTAGGAAATTATCAATGGTTATCATTTTACGTATTATTATCTACAAAAAGGTTTCTCAGGAAAACAAA